AGTATAAAAAGTTGATTATGTGATTATGTGTTTCGAATTCATGTTAAGACCACTCGCTCTCGTCGTGCCGCGCCAGCTCAGGTATGAGTACCTGAATGACTTTGAGATTATCTCATATTGATTGATTATTGATTATTGTAATGAAATCGGGGTTAGGACAATCCACCTTTAAATGCGAACTCTAGTGTTGAACTCTAGACTTCTCTTATTATTGTGCTAAATTGTTCGACCCAATTTGCAATGTAGAATTATGGCTCGTCGTAATGCTCGCAACCAGCAACCTTCTCCATCTCCACCCCCATCTCCCCCTCACCAGCATGCTCCCAATCCGGCTGGGACTCATCTCAGCACTGTGATTCAGTTTCGCCAGTTGACCCCACCGACTTTCACCGGGGTCGAAGGGCCCGAAGCAGTGGCGGAGTGGATCCGTCAGTTGGAGCAGAATTTCGATTTGCTGCAGTGCACCGACGCCCAGAAAGTCGTCTGTGGCCGCTATATGCTGAAGGGCGATGCTGCCCTATGGTGGTCCAGCTATTGGAGGTTGAGGCAGGCGGAGTTTAATGCCCTGACTTGGGATCGCATGAAGGAAGTGATCATGGAGAAGTACTATCCTCAGAGTTATCGCATGAGGATGGAGCGCGCTTTCTGGGATCTTACTCAGGGGACTGGTACCGTTGAGGAGTATGAGCGAGAGTTTACCCGCATGAGCGCCTTTGCTCCACACATGGTGGATACTGACCTGAAGAAGGCCCACAAGTTCCGAGATGGACTAAATCGAACTCTCCGTATGCATGTTGCCAGCCAAGGAAATCTTTCCTTTGATGAGACTGTTATCCGAGCCACCCAGCTGGAGAGTTATCAGACTCTCGATACTCCTGTCCCTTCTGCTCAGCTGGTTCAGCCTATTTCTTTTGCGCCGCCCGGCTCTAGTTCGGGCAAGAGAAAGACTGATTCCCACCGGGACAACCGGGAGGGGAAGCGTGGCGGGAACGACCGGCGTGATGGACACCCCGCCAACCAGGGCCAGAGTCCGAAGTGCCCTAACTGCGGCCGTTACCACCCAGGCGATTGTTGGTACAGTCAGAAGGTCTGCTACAACTGTCATCGCCCGGGACATTTCCGTAGCAACTGCCCCGAGCCCCCGAGACGACAGCCATTCCAGCAGCAGCCCCACCAACAACAGCATCAACAGCTTCCCCCGCCTCCACCGCAGCAGCAGATCCAGCAGCCTCAACAGCAGCAGCAGCAGAGGGCCCAACCAAGGTTTGGCGAAGGAGGTCAAGCACGGGTATACACGATGGCCCAGTTTGAAGCCGAGCAGAACCAGGGCTGAGCAGTCGATCGAATGTCAGATTTGAGTTCATTATTTGTTCTTTCTTTTGTTAGAACTTTGCTTCCCTTTACTTTTGTTAGACCTTGATTATTTCCTTTTCTTGCTAGACAAGTTCAAATTTCGTTTGATACTCTTATTGGTTATTTTGAATTTCTCTTTGAGACTCCTACTGGTATATTAAATTTTGTAATATGAAAATTTTTCTTGTCTTTTCGTTCTCGCATGGGATGAGATTTCTGATGGGGTTAAGAGCCTTAATTTTCTGTTGATCATGTTGTGTTCTCATAAAGTGAAGTTTTCTATTTCATGAACATCGTGAGTAACATCGATTGACTCATGAAGAAGTACGAGTACCCTGACAGCGGAGTCGGAGTACTTGGATATTGAAGTTGGAATTAGGGTCGCAAGGCACTAGGGAATTTTCGATCTTCGTATACATATCGAAACGGGGAGATGTAACAGCTGATGAGAAATGAACCGTAGCTACTGGATGCGGGCGGTGCAGGTGCACTGCGTGTTGGTGCCGCGCACAGGCGTGCCACGCTCGGTGATGCATCTGGAGTTGTAGGAAGTGCCGTGTGTAGTGTGCCGCAGGTAGCGTGCCGCGTTGCCGCATGCCAGGCCAGCCATTCATGTCAC